CCGCCTCCCACGGCGGCTGCAGCCCCGTTGAGCTGTGGGGACATGAGGTGGAGGCTGGCGTAGGCTCCGGTCCCGGCCATGTCCCCATTAACGGCAGGGTGGGCCATGCTGAAGGCGGCTGAGTAGGGGCTCTGCACCCCCAGCGGGGTCCTTAGGCCCAGGGCTGTGGGGAGAGGTGGCATGAAGGGACAGGGCTGGTGGGAGCAGCACTCAGAGCCACCCACAGGGCCCCAGCGGGGCCAAGCTCACCCAGGGGGTCCACAGGGGCCTTGGCAGCAGAGGGACGGAACTGCTGGGCACTGCTGGAACCCGGGGCCACAGCGTCACCCTGGGAGGTGGGGGTGCTGGACTTCAGGCTGGGTGTCCCTGCCTTCTCCACCTGCCAGGAACAGAGCAGCAGATGTGACAGCCTTGCTCCCACCCTGCTGCCGAGTCTTCTGACGTCCCCTCAGTGAGCTGGTCCCTGTTCCTCATCCCTGATGGCAACCTAGCTGCAGGAACTGCAGGGATGGGACATGAGAGGGGAGAAAACAGAGCAGGAGCACTGCCCCTGTACCCCCAGCACTGCCCCTGTCCTGTGGAGGGAAGAGGACCCACACCTGCAGCTCTGCCAGCAGAGCGTGGGCAGCAGGGACATTAGCGCATCGCCAGCCACCCAAGGCAGCACACGCACCGTGGGTGCATCCTTGCTCCGTGATGGGGAAGTGCTGCTTGAGGAGGCCATGGAGGTCGGGCTGAGTGGAACAGTCTCCTTCCTCCCCAGTGGGACCTTCTCCACCGCATTCTCCCGGGATGAGTAGGAGTGGACACTGTGTGGAGAAGAGGGGTCCTGGGGGGAGGAAATCAGCAAGTAGCAGAGTAGGCAGGAGCATGGGGATGTCCCAGGCCAGAGCAAACTGGTGGCTTGGGTAAGGGCCAGGCAGGCTGCCCAGGTCCCAGGGCTCATCACTGTCACCAGTGCTGGTGAGCATAACTCAGGGGTCCTAATGCCACCCCCCTGCTGCCCACCTCCACTTCTAATAGCCTGGTAGCCACCACCTGGGCAGGGGACTCCTACCCCAGCCCCCAGAACACTGACCTCATCCACCACCAAATTGTCTTCACTTTTGTCTGCATCGCTGCCCTGAAATGCCGAGGACAGTTGGAGTCAAAGGGGCTGGGTCTGCCCTTGCTCCCGCTGGGAAGTGCTGGAGGCACAGGCAGCTCCGCTCATTGCCCCGCAAGAGGGGACAGGGATGCCCCCAGCCCCCAAGCCCTAGACTCACGTAGTCTGTAACAAAGTCCTTCTCCTCCACCTTCCTTTTCTTGCTGCTGCTCAGGTATTCAGAGATGGCTCGTGCCCGCTCCCCGTTGGGCAGCGCCAGGGAGCTCTGGGGTGGGAGGACACAGCATTAGGGGCTGTGAGCCCTTGCCAGACAGGCAGTACCACACAGGGCTGTGGCTGCTGCCCAGGGGCCCCAGTGCAGCCCCCCCATGCTGCCAGCTCAGAACTGAGCTCCTGCCAAAGGAGTGGGGAGCAGGACAGCATGGTTTGCCCACATCACACAGGGAAGAGTTTCCCAGGGGGAGAGCACTGTCCTCCCTCACCAGCATGGCTGTGCCAGCAGCAGGGGCTTGGTCAGGGAGCATCTGTCCCCCATGTCTACCCCCGCCTTGGAGCCTGCGTTCAAGAGGGAAATGGGGCAAAAGATGGAAAAGGTACTTACAGGGCCGGGGTCCCGCTCTGTCACCATGGCAACACCGAGACACAGCAGAAGAAGGAGGGAAGGAGGGACACGATGTGCCACCACCAGACTCCCCACAGGGCCACTCGGGGTGCTTGTGCCAGGGCCAGGCAAACACTGCAGCACCAGGGTGGTCCCAGCCCCAACAGGAATGACCCCTCCCCACCAACTGCCCCACTGCCTTCCCAGGAGGTCCTGCTCATGGAGACATTCCCCATCCAAATCCCTCATGACTAGCAAGCCCCCACTCCACCACCCCAGTCATGACAAACCATTCCCCCACCTAACCCTGGCCCCCACCCAAAGGAAGGGTCCAAGGGGAAGGATGCAGGGAGTAGAGGCAGCAGCAGGGCCCAGAATCACCTGATCTCAGGTTTGCCTGGCAGGCCCCCCAGCTCCTGTCCCCCTGTGCTCACCCCTGGGCTCAGTGTCATGGACTCCTCGGTCGTCTTTGGCAAGGAGCTGGGCCTGGGCCCCCAGTGCCCCTGAGAGTGCCAGCAGTCCCGAGGCACTGCCGATGCCTGCAAGACTGGTGGGCTGCATCCCAGAGGGGTGGGGGGTCAGCGGGATGGGGGGAGCGTGGTGAGAGAGGTGCTGGGTCTGGAGCTGGTGCTGGAGAGGAGCAGGATGAGAGAGCAGAGCTGCAGCATTGTGTCAGGATGGCTGCCAGGCAGCAGGGAAGAGGCTGTTCTTCCCCACCAGCAGCCCCAGGTCAGGCAGGGGATGAGGAGCTGGGGTGGTGGGGCAGGGCATGCTCTGAGGAGGGCTCCCAGCCCAGCTGGGGGGGCCCCCCTCCTCCTCCCCAATTCAACCAGGGCTGGGAGAAGGCTCTAGGGGCAGGGGGCTGCAGGTGACCCCTGTGTGCTTGGGGCAGAAGAGGTCTGCAGACCAGGGGCCAGTGGGAGCCTGGGAGGTGCCACTGTCTGCGGGGGCCCAGCACCCCTGGGAGTGGGAGGGGGGTTGACGTACCCCGATTGCCGCGTTCAGGTCGGTCATAGTCACCTGCTTCGCTCGCTCCACGGCCTGAACCACCTGCTGCTGGTGCTGCAGGAGAGAAGAGCTCATCGGCACCGGGCGATGCCAACGCCTGTGGCCAGAGGGGCCTTGGCAGGCTTCTTTCTTCAGGGGATGGGGCACAGCCAGGCCCCTCACCCTCCCCAAAATGCAGGGCCTGGGTCCCCAAGCAGGGGTGCTCACTGTGCCCCACAGGGTCACCCACCTCTTGAGACAGGAACGGGATGAGCTGGGCACAGATCACGTTGAGCCGCTTCGCGATCTCTGTCTGGCAGCAGAAGAGGCAGCGCCTGTCAGGGCAAGGGGCAGAGCTGCCCCGTGCCGCAGGAGACCCCTCCCAGGCAGACGGAGGCCCCCTCCCCATTGCAACCTACACAGTGGAAGCACTTAAGATCCCAAGAGCTGCTGCTCAGCACTAAGGAGGAGAAACACCCCAGAGAGGACCAGGAAAGCTGCTTCCTGGTGCCACTTCTGCAAAAACGTGAGCTTAGTATCCTCCACCCCAACCCTGAGAGCCCCAGGATGGCTCCCACCTCCTCTCTGTCAGGGACACAGAACCCCATGGCCCATGCCACCAAGGGCCACCCCCAAACAAGCCCACAGCCGTGGGCCACAGCTTGGGGCCCCAGCAGGCTCTCTTCATCCTCTGTGCAGCTTCCTGCTGGCACCATGATGGCTAACTGTGGCTCTTAGGGCTGCAGGAAGCTCTGGAGAGGTGCTCTCTTCACAGCTGCTGTTTTTCTGCAACACTTGAGTGCCACAGGCAATCAGGAGCACCTGGTGCAGGAGCAGCGGGGAGGGAGAGCAGCGGTGTGCCATGCTCCCATCCCACCCCACAGCACAGATATTAAGGCATGCCCGGCCTCACAGCTACACCCCTGAGAAGAACACGCAGGGGCTGTGGGGTAAGGACTCTGTCCCAAGCACCAGAGCACACACACCAGAGCAGAGGAGATACCCACACTGCTCCTCGTGGTAGAGCTGGGGATCCCACCCTGGCACTGGAGAGGAGGCAGCAGCTCTCCAGAAACCCAGACATCCTCCACGCAGGGACAGGCAGAGGATGTGGTGGGCAAGGGGCTCCAGGTCAGGTGCTGCCCCAAGCCCTGAGGATCTCCCTGCCCACCCCGGTGGGGAAGATGAAAGGATTGCAGAGCCAGCACGGGTTTGAGAGGAGGGGATTGAATCTGGATCCTCTTGTCAGCCCCAGATGGAGCCGACCCCTGAACCTCCCTGCTGGGACCTTGGCCACTGCCGTGCTGGTGGGAGGGGCTGCAGCACTGCCCCGCCGGTGGGGGGACAGACCCAGGGACAGCCTGTGCCACCCTCTGGAACAGCCACCGACCCCCCAGTTCTGCCACAGAGCAGGAACAATCCAGCACCCGCCCTCACTTCCCCTTCCAAGGGAGGAAAAAAGAGAAAGAAAAGAAAGAAACGCGGGGGGAGCAAGGAGATTTGGCAGCCAGCAGTTCTGGGAAGGATTTAGTTGTCTCCCGGGGCCGGCAGTGATGGATTCTCTTCCCTAATGCACTGATGGGCAGCAGCTCCTTGGGGAGAGCTGCCTCCAATTCACTCGCGCTCGTTAATGTGCAATTTACTGGCACTTTAACGCTCTCAGCATGAAAAATGATCATGCTGTTTGCAGCCCCCCCAGCCACCAGCACCGTCACCTCCCCTCTGGCTCGCAGTGAACAAGTCCAAGGCCAGGCAGATTTGAGGAGGTGGTTTTATAAAAAGCTACAGGCCCTTTCCATGCCAAAAACAAAACAACAATAAAAAAATAATGTCTCCTGTCCTAAGCCTCCCCTGCTGAGCCTGTGGCTGCCTGGAAAGCTGCACCACCACAGCCAGCCCTAAGCCCCCAGGCCCATTTCCTTCTAGACACACCCAGGGCAAAACCACCCTGTGTCTCACTCAGCCCTTGCTGGCCCTGCCGACACTGACACTGGCACGGCGGGAACCTCTGGGGGATGCTGGGCTGGGCACAGCAGGGACCGAGGCAGCACCATGGCACAGCATGGCCCTCACCAGCAGCCATGGGGAGAGTGCTTTCTCAGGGTCCTGGGGCAGCCTAAGCCCACAAGCAGCACCAGATCTGGGGGAAGGGGAGGAGAGACATGACCCGATTCCCCCGTGGCAGCGATAACTCACGGCTCCCATTTTTCACACAATGGCCGCTGGCTCAGAGCAGCCTCACGGGCCCTCGTTAAAAGTGCAGACAGCTCGCTGGCAGGCGGCCAGCGGCACCTGGGACCAGCAGAAAACATGAGCCTGCAGGGGCTGGGGAGAACCAGCAGCCATACAAGAGGAGCAGGCAAACCTCAGGGAGGGGGCACCAGGCTGGGGGAGACCCTCAGCATCGCCTCTGACAAGGGCAGCTTCACACGGTGGGGATGGCAGCACAGGGCCCAGCAAAGAAACACCTGCCCAGTGGGAACAAAGCTAGGGAGGGGCTGTCAGGCTGTCCTGGGCTGGGGGCTGGGACCCCCACATCAGCAGCCCGAGCTGGCTCCCACGCAACAGTTGGTGGCGGCAGGCGCGGGAGGGACGGCGGCCACGGCTGCAGCACAGCACGCCAGGCTCCTCCGCAGCCTCTTTAAAAATAGATGAGGAGAAACCTTCTGTCTCAGAGCAGCTGGTGACCCCGTGCGCAGCGCCGCAGGAAGGAGGAGGAAGCAGCGAGGGGAGATGTGCAGCCCCGAGCTCTCAGAGAACCCAACCCATCCCCCCCTCCCCACCTCAGGATGCTCCTCTGCCCTGGATCCGGGTGAGCTGCCCCCAGGGCCAGCTGGCACCAGACAGAGGCAGTGAACCAGAGTTTGTCACCCTGCTGTGAGGCTGCAGCCCCCATGCCCCACAGGAGCAGGTCTCTTCCATGAGGGTCCGCAAGCAGCCATGCAGCACAAGTCCTGCACCCCTGCTCTCTCCCCACCGCAGAAAGCGTATTGTGAGGCAGCTGGGAACACACACCCAGAGCCCAGTGACCCCACATCAGCACATGCTGGAGCTCCACACGTGGGCGTGGAGAGCAGAGACAGGCCCGAGGTCATGATACAGCAGAGAAGGGAGCACATCCAAGTACAGCCCTCCCTGGGCTACAACAGGGAGCAATTTCCCATGCTTTCCATGGAAAGAGACAACCCCCAAAGGGCCCAGATGGTGAGGCAGGGACAGGGGGCATCCCACTCAGACTCACCTGTTTGTGCATCTCGATGTTCAGGCCATAGGACATCTCATAGTACTGCAAGGGAGAGAAGGCAGCATCAGCACAGCTGGGGAGCCCAGGGGACCCTCAACCACAAAGTCCTCTCTGGTGCTGCTGTGTAGGGTCAGCCTGGCCACAAATGTCCACACTGCAGCCAGGACAGAAGGAGAAAACAGTCCCCAGCTCCTCTTCTGGGAGCAGAGGTCTCTCCAGCACAGGGCTGCAGAACAGACATGGTCCTCCTGGGGAATGAGACAACCCTCATGGGAGCTGCTTGGCCACCGCATGTGGCGGCAGCAAGCCCTGCTCAAACACCACAGCTTATTTGGGGGGAAAAGCAAGACAGTAACAGCCACGTGAACCAGATCACAGGGCCTGGCCACACAACCCAAATGTGAGGGGAAGCCAAAGCATCCCAGGGCTGCATGTCCTTTGATGGTTCAGAGGAGACACCCCCCCCCACCGCCCTCTCCTTTCAGGTGGAGATCACTAACCATGACATAATGACGCTGGAGTTCTGTTTTTTCTGTTGCCAGCTTTTCACATTCTAACTTCAAGCTGTAAAAATAAAGAGAAGAAAGAGAGAGGGAGAGAGGAAGAGGGAAAGACCCCCAGCTCCCCCCTGGACAAGATCTCCCAGGCTGGACAGAGCACGAGCCCTCCCAAACACCATGTGCTTCAGCCTCCTGCTCTCAGATTCAATCCCATCTCCCAGCACAAGCCAAGAAAACCACCTGAAAGAGGGTGGGAAGGGGCTGATAAAGAAGAGATGGACAGCAAAGGGATCCAGGCATCAGGGAGCAATCTGCACCAAGTTTTAACCCCCTCCCCAGCATCTGCTTCCCAAATGGAGCGAGCTGCAAAGCTGAGCTGCATTTCAAACCTTGCTCTGCCCAGCTCCATGCAGGGAAGGGGAGGTGATCCTGGCCAGCAGTGCAGGGATCAGAGGGACTCCATGTCTGCTAAGTGATGGCTTCAGCTCAGCCCAGAAGCCGGGCCCTGGAAGCCAGCACCCTCACCCCAAGGCTTTTGGCAGGAGGAGTTTCCCCCTTAAACAGTGTCATTTCCAGCTACCAAGGTGGTGCTTGGCACAGCCATCCTCCAGATGGACCAGTGCCCACGGCAGCACGGGACGGTGCTTCCTGCCAGCCCATGCCAAGGGGGAGCCTGGCTCCTGCCAGTGCCAGTTAAGTGCCCAGCACCTGGCTGGCACACGAGCTCGGGCAGCTCCTCACCTGTGGTATTGGTTCTGCAGGAACTGGAACTCCTCCTTGATGCGGTCCAAGGTCTCCGGGTAGGTCAGCTTGAGGGACTGGGGAGTGCTGGGGATGGCACTGGCAGTGACAGTGGCTCCTGCAGCAGCAGAAGGTGCCTGGAGATGGGCCTAGACAGAGAGACCTCCGGGGTCACTGCTGCTGGCCCAGAGAGCCCCTTCCAGGGGTTTCCTGCACCTGGGAAGAGGCTGCAGCACAACTGGGA